GACCGTCTCCACGGTAACCGTGCTCCTCTGTAGGAAGATCTGGAATAATCTCCATGGTTTCCAGACCAGGTCCTTTGGAGGCTGAATTTTTCTAAATGTTTTAGCTGCTAAAGTTTCAGCTCCATCAGTATTTGACTCCCTGAGTTCTGAAGCCTCCTGGGTCGGTTCTGACCCTCATGTCAAGGATAAAATGTTTAGGACTGCTTCTCTTTGTTTGGAAGTTGAGATAAATCCAAGCTGTTCTGCCTGGTCTTCATTTAGTAGGAATTTGTTTTTAAAATATTTGGATGTAGATTGTTTCTCCTGTTCAACACTTTAATATTAATAAAGTTTTTTGTTTTTTTTAATCAATGAGCCATGATGTTGGTCTTTGATGTGGGGAATAGGAACTGGTCTCCTCAGGTGAATTCTAGCCTGGGGTCTTTGGGTTTCTCTCTACATCAGCCTCCAAGTCTTTAAGCCACAGATTCTGAGCAGGTTAGAGATCTGAACTTTGACTAGGCCATTCTTACCCATGAATTGTTGGTGTATGCTCCACCGTGTCCCTGGCTGGATTTTCAGGTGAACCTCCACAGCTTCTAATAGGTTTTCTTCTAGGATAGTCCTGATTGAGCTCCACCCATCAGCCTCCGTTTCCCACAGCATGATGCTGCCACCACCACCCTCTTTTTATCGGATTATAGTCATTTAATGACGGAGGTTGTTAGTGTTGGTTAGGGAGAAGTAGCTGCTCACCACTGAGCTGTGAAAGAAGAGGATCTGGACAGAAACGGTGGTTTGGACATGGACAGAAGAACATTATGCACTTTTAATGGGTCCTAATTAGCAGATGGTGTCAAAAATATGTTTATTACTCCAGTATAAATCCTGCTGTTTAAAAACCCTCATAGAAGTTAGAGGATCAACTTCAGCTTAAAAAAAAGGGAAAAAAAGGTAAAAATCTAATGCAGGAACAAACATCAAGGACAGAAGGTTTACTGCACTACCCTATTAAAGGAACATTTTTCTATAATTCTGGATGATAACTTCCTTAGAATTCATTTTCTTAGTTTTTTAACTAATGGTGTCAAAATTAACATCATTTTGGTAAACTATTTATTTTGGTACGTGGTGAGCAACAAGTTGGGGCAGCACAGAGTCCAAAGAAATTATCTGGATGAAACTAATTAATTTGATAGTTTTTTTTGTTTTTTTTTAAATACCAACAAGCCATAATGAAAATTAGCTTAAATTAAACTTTTTTTTTCTATTTTTAAAATGTAAGGACTAGAAAGTAAAAATGACTCCAGTAAAGAATAGATGGCCGACATTTCTACTTCTGTAAAGTAATGAAGTATTTGTAGTTTATTTGAGGTGAAAAAAAAAACAAATCCAGAACCTTTCGGCTCCTCTGCGCCACTCTTATTGTGAAAAGCCCAACCGGAAGCAGTAGCTAGTGCCGCATGCGAGCTTGCCGCTGTCGGTTTGGCCGTGCGTCTCCAGCCTGTCCGCTTTAAACCTTTTACTGCAGCGGAAAAAATGGCGAACTGGATCCTAAGGAACTGGGCCCAGGCTGTCTGACAGGTTCCGGTCCAGTTCGGACCGTGGACAGCATGCCCGGACCGCCACCGGACGGATAGCGCTTCACCGCGACCCAAACAGTCCTCTAGACGAGAGCTGCCGGCGGAGGGTGACGAGATGTCGGCGGAGGGAAGCGGAACCATCCGCAGGCGGATCAAGAACCTGCTGCGCTCCCCGTCCATCAAACTGAGACGGACCGGAGCGGCTCGGAACCAAAACGACCTTAGCGGCAAGGTACAACACACACAAATACACACACACACACAGAGAGACATACAGACACAGACATACAGACACAGACACACACACACACACACACATACACACACACAGACACACAGACAGACGGACAGACTCGGACACAGAGACAGACAGACAGACTCGGACACAGACAGACACTGGTCAGGACTGGTTGGATGGTCCACCTGTCATGGCCCTCTGCTCAGCTGACTGGTTCTACTGGTACTGTTGGGTCGGACATATCTGAAGGTACCTTCCCCATCTTCAGAACCCTGAAGCGGTACCAGATGACCCGGCACCAAGAGCAGCAGAGTTTAGAGGGAACCGGCTAAAGGCGGCCAGAAATGAGCCACCAGAACCAGTGGATCCAACATGGACCGGATCCTCTGCAGGGAACAGAACCAGGCCGGGTCACAGAACAACCCAGAAGGGCTGAATGCACGGTTTGAGGTCCAGTAGAGGTTCTGTAGATCATTGGATCAGAACCAACACCCAAACGAACTTCCTAAGATCGGAACATGAAGAGATGTTCTTGTAGGTTTTGAGAAATCGTCCTGGGCGTCACCAGAACCTCTGCCGGTCCATAACCCCGTCTGGGTTTCATTTGGGCCGGAGCAAAACCGGGAATTGACCCAAAGAACCAGCAGCACTAATCAGGCCGACTTATGTGAGATTAATTGGTGCCAGCACTAGAACCGGTCTGTCTCCAACCAGAACCACAGTTCCTCTGTGTTGTTTGGGTTCTACTCCAGTGGTTCTGTTGGGTCCACAGCAGTGGTACTGGGACACCAGCCAGAGCTGTTGGCCAGAGCCAGAAGAAGAAGTGGTCCCTGATCGGTTTCCTGCTCTGAGGGTTGATTTGTGTCTGGACTTGCAGGGTCCGGGTTGGTGGATGTGCACCGGCCCGGTTCTGCTTTCCTGTTCATTGGGAGCGGATCGGGGCCCAGAAGAAACGGCTTGTTGTCAATTGGTTCCTGTTCAGATTAGCATCAAGGAAACGGCTTCATCTTATCTTCAGTCCATCAAAGTGTTTCCTGAAAAACCAGTTGATCCACCAGTGAACCCAGCAGGTCCGCATCAGTCTGAAACCTGCTGCCCATTTCAGCCATCATCATCATCATCATCATCACCATCATTGGTTCCCAGGAAGCATCACGGCCTTCTTTTACTCAGTTTGTGAAGGAATTGCTGGTATAGGCTTAGATTGGCTGATGTTTCTGGTGTGAACAAGAAGTCCTTCCAGCTGTTCTCTGGTTCCAGCTGCATGAGGACGTCCACGTTTAGAGGAAACATCTGGACCAACCTGAACTCTAATGATGGATAAATCCCACATAAGGATTCAGAGACACGTTTCCAATGATTTAAAACCATAATAAAAAAAATCAAAGATCCTTTGGGTTCCTGTTCCTCGCTACCGTGATACCACGTGACCGCTTCGCGAAGTGGTTCGGGAAGCGCAAGAATTTTGACAGGCATCTAAACAGCCTCAGTGTTCAGTCAAGATGTAGGAGTTTGGAAGAGAGTCGCTGTCAGCTGGATGAAGTTTGGATAGATTCTAAGAATAGATTGGTTGGAAAAACAACCAATCTAGTTGGTTAAAACTAATTTGGTTAGAATAAACAATGTAATGATCAAAATCTGAGGAAACCACCGGAAAAAGTCAGTTTGAACACGTCATTATTAACTTGTATTTTCCTTCCTATTATGGTTATCTATATAGGTGGCATCATCTGTAACATACAGGTTCTCACTCTAGAGGTTGATGGTTCAAGTTGCGATTAAACTTTATTATTTTGGCTGATGAGACTAATTTGCATTGTTTTGCCCGAGTAAAAATATAGATTGGGTAAATTAGGTTGGTTTAGCCAAAAGATTGGTTGAACACAACTTCCAACCTGATTAAAACCAAAAAAACGTGGAAAATCTATCACATTTGAATAAAAATGACTAACACCTTTCATTTTGCATATCATTGCCCAATTTGCGCGAACACTTTCACTGTCTGCTTGAGTTTATTTCACTAAAATGGCAGAAAAACCGTGCACCTTAAAGGATTGTTCTAAGAAATTTTACACTTAAAAAGATACAAAAGATTTTATTATACACACCAACCATTAACAATTTCAAAGGAACTTAAAAGGGAAAAAAAAGAACAGTTGCAAAAAAAAAAAAATCACAGATTTTATTATAAACTGTAGTTCTGCTGTCCACCAGTAGGTGGTGACATGTTCACATGGAGCTTCATGAACTGTGGGGATCGTTGAAGCAATTTGGCCAAACGGTTCAATGCCTCATGGGGCTTCATCTCACCATCACTACTAACAGCCAGTCTGTGGTTGATGCTCTTATTTTGAAGTTTTAAAGGAAATGGATGAATGCACTGAGGAGCCAAGCAGCGTGTCTGTCATGGCCTTCTGTGTAGAGATGATCCATCAGCTAGCTAGCTGTCAGACGCTAGTGCTGTTAATGTTAGCTGGAAAAACGCGACAGAAATCATCTAAAATATGGTCCAGGACGTTTGTACCACACCGCTTTGCTAGCTGAACGTATTCAAACACTGCTGGTTATTTCAGTCTGACTCTTGATATTAAACGGTTCAATGCCTCAAAGTACTTCACCACAGTAACTGTATTATAGTATCGTAGTAGTGCTGCCCCCCCACACAGGCGCAAGGCTCAACAGGAGGGCTAAATCCTCAGGCTATTCCACTACGCCTGAAGGCTAACGCTCACTCGTTTCAGGACGATGATGTCCGGATTCTGGCCAAGGAAGACAGATGGTTTGAGAGAGGGGTTAAGGTAATGTGATCAGTCATCCCCGATTTCTGGGGACAGTCCCCGTTTTGGACCACCTGTCCCTGGCTAAAGCTGTCCCTGGAAATGTCCCCGGTTTTAGCATTTTAAGAATGAGCGGGAAAATGTTGCGTGTCGGCTGTTATTATGGTATAAAGAGCGCGTTAGCATGCTGCGCTCAGAAACGGCTGTTAGCGTAAAACTGCCCATGTTTATCGGTTCATTTCATTGATCTGTTTGAAAGGGATTCAGATTGTTTTATTTCCCTGTTTTCGATCAGTGTTAGAGTGAAGACAAAGACTGATAGATGAGAGCGGAGGAAAATAGGAAGACTGATGGAAAGATCAGTAAAAGAGAAGGAAGGAAAATGTACTAGAATAGTAAAACAGAGAGCAGGCAGGAGTCGGCTAGAAAGAAAAGAGGCTGGAGAGGGAAGAAGGCAGAGAAGACTGAATGAACAGATGGCACTAATAAACACTATTGATTGATTAACTTTATTAATCTTAGGAATCTTTTTCTAAATGTGCAGCGAAACCTTTGGTTCCAGTAGGCGTGCAACTTTATTTGAAAATCGATTAACCTGTAGATTATTTTATTGATTAATAATCGGATAGCCAAAGGTTCCTTAAAGAAGACTTTTTACAATATTAAACCAGGTTAAACTAAAACTTTTCCACTGGAGGAATCTTGGATTTAAGAGCAGATTGACAGATGAATTAAATTAAAATGTTTTTACATTTTTTTTAGATTCTTGATATAATTCCTGCTCTGTCAGCTAAAGGGATCTTTTACAGTCTCTATACTTCAGTTAACGATTAATCTGTCAATAAATTGGTTGATGATTAGTTTAATAACCCGTTAATCTGATGGATTATTTCAGCTCTAGTTTCAGTAGAACCACCTGAACAGAACCGGGGACGGAAGCTTCCGGGCTTTTTCATTGCTGCCGGAAAATCGGACCTCTGATTTCTTTTTTTTCTAATAAATCGGATTAATCAATGATCTTTTGCCTGAATTAAATGTTATAATAATGAATATCAAATGCAGTCATCAGGGAAAAAGTAGCTTTGAGTGGAGCCGCCCTCTGGAAGGAGCTGCTGGTCGAACTATCATGTTTGACGACAAATAATGAACCATAACAGACTAAAGGTTAGCAGCTGCTGCTTTATCACATCACATCTACGAACAGGAAGGGATGAACTCTGAGCTATGGAAGCCTGGGCAGGACATGAGAGGAACAAAGTCCATAAATCTTCCTAAACAGAAAATGAACAGAATCGATTCAGCCTTCCTGTTACATCCTTATATTCTTGCTCTCTCTCCCTTTCTGGTTAGAAGAGTGGACAAGATGAGACTCGGAGGTTTGACACGTCTCTACGTAACTCCTCACAGATATTAAAGGTGTCCAGAAGTTCCCTCCCATCTGTGAACTTTGTTGAACCTGATCCTTGAAGCGGGAACGGCTGTCTTGGAATGTTTGTGGGAACGTTCCTCCAGCGGATCAGGTGCGAGGTTAGACACTGATGTTGGAGGAGGTCACTGTGCCCACTGTGCTGTTTTTACCTTGGAACATGAAAGTCCGACTGACGTCGTCTTTTGACTGGAGGGTGTTTTGGCCTCCCTCATCAGGGCGCCCCCATTGTTCACTGATAGGACAACAACGAAACCAACGCCACTCCAAACGGTTTGGGGAAACAGGAGCAGCTTGGATATCTTATAAGCTGTAAGCAAACAGAGGCACTACTCCTCCAAGCCAGCCCCACTCTGCAGTCGTCCTTCCACCAAACTTTCCCCATTGACCAAAGCACTTCAGTCTACGGAAGAGGATTAGTGCCACTGGAAAAAAAAAAAGTTAACTGATTTTTTTATTTTATTTTAGTTTAACATGGGGAAAAAAAGTCAGAATTCTTACTTTTTTCTCAGAATTCTGACTTTAATCTCAAAACTCTGACAAATAACAAACATGTTAGCATGTTAGCAGCCATGTCTGTTTTAGAGACTAGCTCTCTTGTTTTAATGACCTTCCTCCATTAATGAGCGGACCCATCGGGCACATAAAAAGTTGCCTAATTCCACCATTTTCCACCAATGTGTTACTGGCCCTCTCAAACAACTCACATCTTTGTCAGTGAAGCTGAGTGCTCCAACATCTCTTCCTTCATGGTGCCCATCTACATTAAGATCCCAAATTCTGAGATTAGTTAGAATTCTGAGAAAAAAGCAAGAATTCTGAGATTAAAGTCAGAATTCTGAGAAAAAAGTCAGAATTCTGAATTTTTTCCCACATTAGACTGAAAGAAAATGTAAAAATCAGTTAACTTTTATTTATTTTTTTCAGTGGCCCTAATCCTCTTCCGTATCAGTCAGCAGCCAAACCTGAACCTCAGCTTTAAATCTTATCATTATTTCTGTTGTTGTTGCCAAAAGAGCAGAAGTGCTGATTAGCCAGAGTTTCTAACTCCCTGCTAGTCGTTTTGGTGTTGCTACA